TATATTCAAAATATTCCTGGTCTTACAAGGAATCCAGCAATGTCAATTATATTATCCTAACTTTAGTTTGAGGTATTATTTATTACTGTACCTGGTTTTCTCCCCAAAATTTCTCAGAGGAAAGAGCCAGCGAGTGTACTGTGAGAAGAGGGGGAGGGAGTCGAGTCCATTATTTGAATGGACATTAACTTGGCGACTGTATTTCTCTATTTCTCTTAAGTATTAATTGTGTGCATGTACCATCATAAAATTAAGATGTTATTTTTACTAGAACATAGGTATTGTGTTGGAAAAAGTGGAGTTTGAGGGTCAGCTGGTCTCTATTTCATTTAATCCCATATGTTATGTTATTCACTTTACGCGTTTCTCACATTCCGCGGTACCCTGTGGGTTACATTAACCGCGTAAAGTGAGGGTTGACTGTACTATACTATACTATACTATACTATACTATACTACAGTGGTCCCTTGGTTAACGAACACAATTCGTTCCAGAGTGTCGTTCGTTAACCGAAAATTTCGTTAACCGAATCCATTGTTTCAATAGGATATTGGGTTTATTGGTTCCAGCTCACCGAAAAGTACAGTGGTCCCTCGGTTAACGAGCACAATCCGTTCCAGCAGGTTGCTCGTTAACCGAAAAACTCGTTAACCGAAACCATTGTTTCAATGGGTTTTTGGGTAATTGGTTCCAGCTCACCGAAAATTGCCTAAATTCAACAAAAAAGGTAGAAAAGTACACTTACTTTGAGGTGTGTATGTAGAAGGCTCCTGGATGATGATGATGATGGGAATTAAAATGGGCGTGGAAGAGAAGTCACCCCATGGCACCATTTCACCCATAAAATTTTAGTTCTCTTGGTGTAATTCAAGATTATTTTCTTTAAATCAACACTGCACTGCATTATATATTGTCAATATGTAAAATAAATTTCAAAATGACCAATAATTTGCTTGGAAACATAGAAAAAAGCGTTTAGTTGAAGAGAGTCTCGCAAAAATGTTACCTCCACTGAAAACAGAGACTGGCACTTGTATGGTGTGTTGACAGGCTGGATGGCACCCCAGAAACTAGTTTCTTTACCTTCAATTATGTTCAATAATTGTTAAAACGACTAAAAAAGTTAATATTAAACTTTTAAAATTATTGAATAGTATAAACTTCTTGATATTTTCTAAAATAGTAAGGAATTTAAGCCCTAAAACCAATTACTGTATTGGTGGACTAATACTACAGCTGGTGGACCGCCAAATGCAAGAAAAACATGTGGAGGTCGGCTCGTAAAACTCGTTAATCGAGGGATTGCTCGTTAACCAAAGTTAAGAATCTTATGGAATGTAAATCGTTAACCAAAATCTGTTAACTGGCACGTTAACCGAGGATCACTGTACACAAAGTAAAAAAAAAAAATGCAGTTAAGTACATACTTTGAGGTGTGTATGTAGAAGGTTCTTGGTTGATGATGATGATGGGAATTAGAAGTGGGGGCGGAGGAGAAGGGAGAAGAGAAGGAAGTGGGGATGGAGGAGAAATCACCTTTCAGAGGACCCTTGCTTGATGTCGTTATTTCACCAATAAAATTTTAAGTTCACCAGGTGTAATTCAAGATTTTTTATTTAAATCAACACTGCACTGCGCTATATATTATCAATATGTTAACTAAATTTCAGAGTGACCTATAATTTTAATGAAAAAGGCAAAAATATTCAAGACACCAACAAAATAGATGTTCACTCCACTGTCAACAGAGCCCAACTGATGCCTTGTGGTTGAGTCAAGCGACTGATGGGCTCACAAAAAAACTAGTTCCCTGTACTGCATATATATCAATATGTTAAATAAATGTTAAAATGACTAATAATTTTAATAATTTTAATATAAAAAATGCAAAAATATTAAAGAGCACAACTTTATTGACATTTACTCCACTGGAAACGAATGTAAACATAGAACAGATTAATGAATTGGCAGAATAGCCCATCAGTTGATCAGCTGATGCTCACAACAAAACGTGATGTTCGTAATGATTTCGAATCAATTTTTGTTCGTTAACCGAATTGAAGATTCTTATGGAAGGTAATTCGATAACCGAGGGACCACTGTATACTCTACTATACTGTATAGTACAGTATGTACAGTACAGAAGAGTTGAGTAAAGTACAGTAGAGTACAGTACAGTAAAATCACACATTTCGTATGATTTCATTTAGCTTTTTTGAATTTCGCTAGCATTATCTAATGTAACGAAGTCTTATATTTACGTAAAATATCGTGAGTTTCGCGAGATCCAGCCAACTCGTGTTTTGTCAACGCGAATTGGTTGTTATGTGATTGATGATTAGGAGCGCTGTTTGTAAATGCAACTTTGCATCTGAATGTTGGCTATAGCATGATTCCATCTTCAACATTTTGAGTGTGGCGCGTTATAATGTACTGTATACAGTTCACGTTCGACATCACATTTTGAATTGATTTGTGTCTTTTGTTTGTGAAGTGTTTTTTAGAGGTACTGTAATTCTGTTGTTTTTTTTCAAATTTGGCTGTTACCATAAATACTGTATGAAAAGAATAAGTAAAAAGAATGTTTAGCAGAGGACTAATAATTTTACACCAGCGCTCTCTGTTTACATCACATGATCAGTTGAATCGTGCGGTTTTTAGTTGCTCAGTGATTTTCACGTTTTCTCCAATTTTGTTGTAGCGATGAATATAGAAAGACAAGGTAAGAAAAATGTTTCCAAGAAGCGTTCTGGTGGTCGATTCCGATGGTGAACGTAAAAGAGGTTTACAAGAATGCAACTATCGCGTTGTAACCCCACCATCCTAGTGACCGCTCGGGCTGTTATTGTGTGCTTTTTTGGGTAGTGCTACCACCTGTCTAGTCAAGATAATGGCCTCTACTGGGGGTCCTACTGGTGCTGGTGGGACAGACACATAGCTGCCAAATAAGGAAAAGGAGAAGGGACTATCATAAGGGAGTTAAGTTTGCCAAGTGCTTGATGCAGGATAAGCAGCGTGTGATTAAGTTACTTGAGGAAGGCCTAAAAACTAGTTTCCGGAAATCACAGTCAGGTCAATTAAGGCAGAACATATCATCTGGAGGTTATAAATGGGAAAACCAGAGGTTGATGTAGAGTGGCCAGTCTATGTTGTTATTTTTACCTTTAGTTTATGTACGTTTTGGCAAAATTTTTCTAGTCTATATTACACAAAAAAATACAAGATCTTACAGTAGAGTACAGTACAGTAGAGAAAAAAGTACAGCACAGTAGAGTACAATACATTACAGTAGAGTACAGTACAGTACAGCACAGTAGAGTACAGTAGAGTACAGAAAAGTACAGTAGAGTACAGTAGAGTACAGTACAAGACTGTACAGTACAGTACATTAGAGTACAGTACAGTACATTACAGTAGAGTACAGTACAGTACAGTACAGAAAAGCATACAGTACAGTACATTAGAGTAGAGTACAGTACAGTACAGTACAGTACAGTACATTAGAGTAGAGTACAGTAGAGTAGAGTACAGTAGAGTACAGTACAGTACAGTACAGTACAGTACAGTACAGTACAGTACAGTACAGTACAGTACAGGGAGCCACACTGATATAATATGCTTGATGGTACAGTACAGTAAGGTATGCTATAACGAATCTAATTGGTTCTAGAACCTTGTCCGTTATAGCATTCGTTTGTTATAGGATTAATCCATTCCAGGCCCCCAAATACAACCACTTAACACTGAAAAATATAATATAAAATTGTAAAAAAGTGCATAAATATGCATCTAAACCCCCGAAATAAAGAATATCATTAATACTTGTTAAAAAAAACAATAAATTAGTAAAAAAAAAAAAAAAATTTTTTTTTTAAATAATGTTAGCTTGTAGGAGTTTTAAATTATAGCATTTTCAATTTTATAGACAAAACCGATCATAATAGGAATATTCATAGAAAATCAGATTATAGCATACCCCACTGTATTAAATTATTATTAAACTTGTAATAAATTTAGTTATGTACAGGTGCTGAACCTCTTGATTTATGTGTGTTTGTAATGCTCTCAGTCCATTTACACCTTTTATTCTTGAAATATGACCGATATTAAACATCATTGACCGACAGCTCGGTGGTGTGGGCTGCCAGCGCTGTAAGAAAAGTGCTCGTCCATCCGATGCATGTCGTTAGATGCGTTGTATGGATACAGTCTATAGTCACAGATTACTACAGTATTTTGTGCTGCAGTTCTATATAATAGGTGCATTTGCCCTTGAATCATGCCACCAGAGTGTCCTTTAAGTTCTTATGGTACCGGTGATGCTAAGAAGCATAAGGCCATTGCCATTGAGATTAATATGGATGTGCTCAAAAGTTATGAGAGGTGTATGAACAGCTGATAATAAGCATGCCCTTGAACTTAGTGAATCTTCCGACTATTCATGATAGTATGTGCTAGGAGAGTGCTAAGAGTGGAACATTAATCAGTGCATCTAAGACCTTGTATTCCCAAAGTTGAATTATGGGGTGAATGAAATGAATGTTAATGTGATAAAACACCAAACTCATGAAAATGTTCTCGTCAGTATGCTTGTGATACATGTACAAACAAAGGCCCAGAGTACTTTATATTTCCTGGTTACAGTACCGGTATGTGTCTACTGTAGGTTTTCATTGCTATAATATTTGGTACTTTTGTGTAAATAATTAAACCTCCTAATCCACTATTTTAATGATTGATCTGTGCCTTTTTTATTTACGACATTTTTCAAGAAAGTAATTATCGCATAGTTCGAGGTTTCCTGTGTGCATGATTTTTATATTACTGAAACACAGTTAATTCCGAACTCTTTTAAGATTTCATATTGGAGACTGACTTAGTGTATGACTGAGAGTGTATTATAATAATAGTGTTTAAAGATGTATTCAAATAGGGAAACTTCTTGTAATGCTTCCTGCATTTTCTGAAATATTTTTAATGACACGATTTATAATCTGGGGGTGACCCATACTGCACCCCAATGGTTGACACCCTCGGCCTCAAGTCCTCCTCAGCCCCAACGTTCCGTCTCAAGCCACGCCTTCCCACAGCCTCGAGATCCAGACATGAGCACCTCGAGAATAAATGATGGCCGAGACAACAGCAGCAACATTTATCTTAAGGTGCTCTTGTTTTCCTCTGATACAATATGGTACTGTACTTGTATATCTGGACTTATATAACTAAGTGTATGTTTGTGCTTTATGTCAGTAAGTCATTGTCTTCCACACATTATATCCATTTCCTATTCCAGATGTTCCTTAGTACACCAGACCCTAGATAACACTCACCCCCAGCCCCATAACTAACACTCACCCAGACACAACTTGCTCACCCCAGGCCCTAACTAATACTCACCCCAGGCCCCATAACTACTACTCACCCCAGGCCCTAACTAACACTCACCCCAGGCCCCCCATAACTAACACTCCCAGGTCCCATAATAACACTCACCCAGGCCCCTACTTCTTCCCTCCCCAGGCCCCCTAACTAACACTCACCCCAGGCCACATAACTAACACTCACCACAGGCCCCATAACTTCTTACTCACCCCAGGCCCCCACCATACTTACCTCACCCCAGGCCCCATAACTAACACTCACCCCAGGCCCCATAACTTCTTGCTCATCACAGGCCCCATAACTAACCACTCACCACAGGTCCCTACTTCTTACTCACCCCAGGCCCCCACCTAACACTGCACCCAGGCCCCCTAACTAACACTCACACCAGGCCCCTAACTAACACTCACCACAGGCCCCCTAACCTTCACTCACCACAGGTCCCCCTAACTACTTTCACCTGGGTCCCCTAAACCCAACACTCACCCCAGGTCCTCTAATAACACTCACACAGGCCCTCTAACTTCACACTCACCACAGGTCCCCTATTAACACTCACCCCAGGCCTCTAACTAACACTCTACACAGGTCCTCTAACTAACACTCACCTACAGGCCTCCTACTCACTCACCACGGGCCCTCCTTCTTACTCACCCAGACCCTCTAACTACTCACACAGGCCCCTCAACTAACACTCACCCACAGGCCTCTAACTAACACTCACCCCAGGCCTCTAACTAGCACTCACCACAGGCCACATGGCTAACACTCACCCCAGGTCCCAACCTAACACTCACCACAGGTCCTCTAACTAACACTCACCACAGGTCCTCTAACTACCCCTCACCACAGGTCCCTAACCCCTTTCACCACAGGTCCCCTAACTAACACTCACCACAGGTCCCCTACTACTCACCCCAGGTCCCCTAACTTCTTCTCACCCCAGGCCCCATGCTTCTCACCACACAGGCCACATGCTACTTCTCACCCCAGGTCCCACAACTAACACTCACCACAGGTCCTCTAACTAACACACTCACCACAGGTCCCCTAACTAACACTCACCCCAGGCCCCTTCTTACTCACCCCAGGTCCCATAAGTAACCTCACCACAGCTCCCCTAACTAACACTCACCCACAGGTCCCTAACTAACACTCACCAGGTCCTCTAACACTCACCCCAGGCCCCATAACTAACACTCACCACAGGCCACGTGCCACTCACCCCGGTCCCACAACTAACACTCACCACAGGTCCTCTCACTCACCACAGGTCCTCCTAACTAACACTCACCACAGGTCCTCTAACACTCACCACAGGTCCTCTAACTAACACTCACCACAGGTCCTCTAACACCTCACCAGGTCCTCTAACTAACACTCACCCCAGGTCCTCCTCTAACACTCACCCCAGGTCATCTACACTCACCACAATCTCTAACTAACACTCACCACAGGCCCCTAACTAACACTCACCACAGGTCCTCTAACACTCACCACAGGCCCCTAACTAACACTCCCACAGGCCCTAACTAACACTCACCCCAGGTCCCCGGGCAACACTCACCCCAGGTCCTCTAACCCCACTCACCACAGGTCCCTAACTAACACTCACCACAGGCCCCTAACTAACACTCACCACAGGTCCCTAACTAACACTCACCCCAGGCCCTAACTAACACTCACCCAGGCCCTAACTAACACTCACCACAGGTCCCCTAACTAACACACACCACAGGCCCCTAACTAACACTCACCACACTATCTTAACCTCACCCCAGGTCCCCTAACTAACCTCACCCCAGGTCCTCTAACTAACACTCTTGAGTCCCCAACTAACCTCACCACAGGTCCTCTAACTAACACTCACCCCAGGTCCCCTAACTAACACTCACCACAGGCCCTAATTTACACTCACCCCAGGCCCTAACTAACTTCCTCACATAGGCCACCTAACTAACACTCATCCCAGGCCCCCTAACTAACACTCATCCCAGGCCCCTAACTAACACTCACCACAGGCCCTAATTTTACTCACCCCAGGCCCCTAACTAACACTCCACCATAGGCCCCCTAACTACACTCATCAGGCCCCCTAACTAACACTCACCACAGGTCCTCTAACTAACCTCACCCCAGGTCACTCTAGCTAACACTCATCCCAGGCCC